CAGGGTTTTTTTGAAAACTGTTTTAATGCCGTACTTCTTTACTAATTCGCCTATCTTTTTTGAGAGATGGCATGACGGCAAAATTAGGACATGGGAAAAGGTCTTAGTCTGTCTCTCTTTGACTAAATGGTCTCCGTCTGAAAATATATTCCTCATAGGAATGATATTATTCTCAATAAGGCCTGAAGGATAATTATTTTCCAGGAATATATTTTGTCGTCCATTGCAATTCTTTAGTCAAATGTTTGTTTTCCGCTAGCCTCATACTTCTACGAATCATTGACTTCGAAATTCCAACATTAGTCTTGTAACTATGGTTGGAAAGAAAATTAAGCAGAGCCAACATATGTTGGCTTCCTATAAACAGCTCTTTCAAACTTACCCTTTTCTCTAATGATGAGAACATCCAAAAAAGGTAAGGACTCATTCTCTTCCATTTCCATCGTGAACGTAATGTTCCTTTCACGCTGGTTGAGTGAAAGTAGGAAACTATCTAAATTCTCCTAACCATGAGGCCAGATGACGAAATAGTCATCCATGTATCTTATCAACAATTTTGGTGTTAGTATTGCATCTTACAGGAAGTATTCCTCTAATTTTGCCATATAATTGTTCGCAACGATCTAAGACAGGCAAGATCCCATCGCCGACCTATTCGATAAAGATTGGAAGAACACAAAAATGATAGCAAAGGTAGCTGGATCCAACGGTCAGAAGTAACCGAAACCGGACATGAAATAAAATGGTTTCAAACTAGTAGATTTGCTGATTATGGTACATCTGTGATTAAAAGAAAGTTAATAGAGGCTTTTGAAATTAATAGCTTAGGAAATACGTTGCATGTTAGGAACGGTGGGAGAAAGTTGAGCCGCCGTCAAAAAGAAGGCTACTCAATTTGTCTGCTCGGTGATGGTTCTACTTTCATTTAAATTCGTCCAAAATGTCACAGTAAGCTCATCAACCAAACCAGACCTTTCAGGTCTGGAGGGTTAAACATTAATGACCCTAGATTGAAAGGTTAGGAAAAATGGTTTAGTAACTTGATTTTCATGCTTACAAGCTCATATTTCATCATCTCAACCATACTTGTTTACGGACTTGCGCAGTCTCAGTCTAGGCTTTCTCTTGCGCCATTAGGTCTTGAGGATAAGAACCTAAGATTAAAATTTTGACAACTCTGATTTATGAACCGTATTGCGTATAGAAGCTAACTCGCACAAATTCACATATTCATACATTTGAGTAAAAATAACAGAACCAGTATGAAATAAAATTAACTAAACCACTCTTAAACGATCTATCAAGGTTTTTAATTTTCTTATGGCTCAATTGAGTCTATATAAGAAGTAAGATAGAGCCGGGTAGTGTTCTTGGCATAGTGTTAACGTGAGACTCTTACAAGAATGAAACCCAGCTTTGATGGTGTTCATAATATGATGGACGAAAGCCCAGCACGTTTTCACCCGAAACGAGGGAGGAAGTCTTATGGACTGCGCCAACATAAATATCGTCTAAAAGCCAAACGGCTGCAGTACAACGAGATTTATCCCTCCTCATCTGGTGAGATCGACCAACGAATCTCTTCTTCATTCATTTTCATACGAGCGGAAAGTCCCCCTAGCAAAATAAAATATGCCTAACACATTTCTATAAAAACCCTATCTACCCTATTTCTTTAAGGTGATGAAGAACTGATAGTTGAGTTTTTCCATTAATATTATTAAGCGTCATGTTTTCACTGAATTTCACATAGCCTTTCTTACCAAAATTTGTTTTAATTCAGGCTGAACTGTCATTCAGAACTCTCCATGAGGACTATAACTCGAGTAGCTAGCCAATTATCTCGACTTATCAGCGCTACTTTACAACACTACGTGTTCCTTTGAATCACAGAACAAATGTGAATTTCTGGGAAATCCAGGCCTCTTCCATACCACAAACTAAATTACCACACTTAATCCATCCTGAACATTCAACAGGATTGTTCCATTTCTCTAAGCATAGATACATTAAACTAACTATTAAGCAAAGTATATTAAAACACTTGAAATTCTGAAATTTTGTTTAGATGAGCATGCTTAAATGTTTTTATTAGGTTATTGATAACCAAGTTATAGTTTTATTTGACTATCCACCTGAAATTATATAATAGTTAGTCAACTACCATGCTCTTGAATTCCTTTCCAACTTTGAAGCAAGCCCCGTGAATTAGAATATAACTCAGTCCTTTCTTTAAATTTAGTTATTTCTAGACATTAAACTTTATTTTCTTCTGAATTTCCTTATTTATTAAATTATACTTCGATAAATAATGATTTTTGAATATTATTCTGTTATGAGTAAATTTCTTGATGCACTTTCATGATTTGGTTCTTCCTAGTGCTGCAGTGGGTAGATAATTTGTATTCGTATTCGTTCCATATGCTAATATAAATATAATTCATCCCCCGTTTTTTCAGAAGCCTAGAAGATTGTTTCTTTGACATTAAGCTATAAAATTATATAAATTAGCAATCAGTATGACCGATAGACTTACTTTTTGAAGCAGAGCGCCTTCTAAATCGGCCTCGAATGAACGAAAGCTAAAATCATTTTTAGTCTTCCATCATGCGGGCCTAGAGACCCTTTGTTCTACTTATTAAACATTCTTTCTCTTATATCATTGCTACGCGTTCAGGAATGGGTTGACCGATTTCGGATTCTGGTTCACAGTATTCCTCCGTCCATGCATGACTCGAATTTTTATTTTTAAGGAAAAGTTGGCCTGACAGGCTTAGGGAATTAGCCTCGCCTAAAAACCGAGGGAGATTGCTTCGGATTAGAGAACGATGGACTGTACGAAAAAATCCTCAACTTACCTTCCTGCGATTCGGACGAATCAGTATTAAGCTTCTTTTATCATGAGGGAGAGATAGTTGGAAAGAGAAAGTAGTATTTATAAAAAGCACACCAAATACGCCACCACACGATGTATGCCACATAACAGGCGAATGCTCAACAACGACTTAACGGACTAGCGGGAAGGTGAGTCGAGGACTTCTTCAAAGAATGTAACGTCCTCCAATCCAAAGCAATCTTCCCTCTGTTTTTGGTGAGGTCACTGTATGAATCCATTCCAACCAACTTTTCCTTTGAAATGAAAAGTTTAGTCAGATTATATCATTAAGGGATCCTTCAAAACGCACTTTTCTTCATATATTCTATCGTTCATTCCTTAATGTCCAACAGCCTAAATTCCGCCTACCCATTCAGTATAACTAATTTCTCGGCCCTTGTATTGACGGGGTCATGAGTTAGTAAAGATCACATTCACTCCATTAAAAGTGGTTCTGATATGAGTTAATCGTCTATCCCGATTCCTATGCCAAATCGGAAACTATGACTGTATCACCACTTAAATTGCTGAAATGAAGTACTCGAAGGTAAGTGCAACGTGGGCCAAACTAACAG